ACGATGTAGATGTCAGTATTTATATCAATGTTTCTCAAGTCTTCTAACATTTTTACCCTTAAATACAGTTCCTCATATTGTGGTGACCCCCAACCATAAAATTATTTTTGTTGCTACTTCATAATTGTACTTTTGCTACTGTTATGAATAGCAATATAATTATCTGCTTTGCAGAATAGTCTTGGGTGACCCCTGTGAAAAGTTCATTTGGTTCCCCGAAAGGGTCACGACCCACAGGTTGAAAACCACTGATCTATATATTAACCAGTACAATAACATTGATAGATTCTGAATTTATGACTTAAATTTTCAAAACGTTTTTAGCAATGGTGAGAAGGCATAACAAATACCAAAGCCCTTATTGAATCTTTAATATAAATATCGTAAATTTGAACTTTATGAATGGTCCTATACCAATTAAGTCTTTTAAAATAGAACTATATTCTCTCTCTTGATCCACCCAGCTACTTCTGTAACTTCACATTGAGTAGAATATGCTGTTCAGTTCTTCAGACAGTGAACACAAGGTCAGTAGAAATCATTTTGGACACCACAAGAGGTTAATAAGCACAACCCCCCTTCCATTCATACGGTCACAGTAGGTGATATTCTTTCTGATTAACATCTTCTAGCTGGCTTCCCAAGAGCCCTTTCTCTGAGCTGATTGTCTGCTTGAAGTCAGCACTGCCACCCTAAGAACATGGGTTTCTGCATAGAATAACTATTAGTTGAGCAGACTTTAGAATGTCAGCTAATCCTTTGTGCACTCATTTCCACGGGACTATCTCTTTCAAGTGAAGCACCCTGGCCTCCGTCTCCTTTACATGAGGAATTCCAGAAGACTCTGCCTTTGAGAGTGCAAACTTGTCCTTTCTTGTTTCATCTTATTTTGCATGTTCTCGCTTTGCTTTGACATGAACACATCAAAGCAAAATAATATCCTATGTCCTAGTACTCAGTGTTAGGTAACCATGTCAAAAAAGAAGTTGGTAACACACATATCAAAAACCAAAAGAAGCCGGACAGTGGTGGCGCATGCCTTTAATACCAGCACTCGGGAGGCAGAGGCAGGCGGATCTTTGTGAGTTCGAGGCCAGCCTGGTCTACAAGAGTTAGTTCCAGGACAGGCTCCAAAGCTGCAGAGAAACCCTGCCTAAAAAACAAAAAAACAAAAACAAAAAAATCAAAACAATAGTTTTATTACACAGTATCACATAAAGCAAAAGCTATCAATATTTATATTATCCACTTGCTCTTCTGAGAAGGTTCGCTTTTCTACAGTTTTATCATCTGCACGCCCACCACATTGGCATGCAGCATTTGACCTGGAAGCACATGCAGATGTGTTTCCATATACCGTTCTTAGTTGACAGATACTACTTTGCAGCTGATAGTAAAAGGGAAAGAAAGATTGTTTTTAAATATTAAGAACCTACCCAACAAGCATTGGTCCTGACACTGTAGTGAACACTGCATCCACAGTAAATGTTGCATGATGAATGAATTCATTTTATCCCTGCTTACCAACTCCATTGCAAATCTATTCTTAGCAATGTAACAATCGCATACTTTTTGTTTGGTACCAGTATTTGCAAAGTCATCAATAATTTTTCTCTTTTCTATTAAAAAAAAAACCTCTGCCTTTGATTTTTTTCTGTTATCACAAACGAAAGAATCATCCATGTTTTCACTCCTCTGAAAAATTTAGCCTTACATAATCTTACAAGATAATTCATCTTTGAAGATTAAGTTTGTCACCTGAATGAGGAAAGTACAAAGAGCTGTTCCCTCTCGTTTATAGAACAGATCAATAAAATTCCAAATGCAGTAAGATTATTTATTTTTCCTCTACTAGTTAGCCTATCTGCTTTGTAGGACAAATTATTTAACTAATTAAGGCTTTAGAATTTATCACCATACTACGTAGTGATATTTCATGTGCATTTTAATAAATAAAGCTTGCTTGAAGATCAGAACACAAACCGGTCACACTAGTCAGCCATAGAGGCCCAGCATTGGTGGTGCACACCTTTAATCCCAGCACTAGAGAGGAGTGTAAGATGGAATGAGACAGGAACTCACTTTCTTTCAGTCTGAGGATTTCTTAGAGGTAAAAACTCTCTAGAGATTTGGCTGCTTTGCTCTTCTGATCTTTAGGCTGAACCCCAATATCTGTCTCTAAGTTTTTATTTTTCATGCTACACCTACCATTCATTGATTCCCTTAAAGTAACAAAGTTTTCCTCCGATGAATATTAACCTGTTAGAACGAACTACAGTTTGGATTTTCTTAGAAAGGGTAATACAGTACACTCTAAAAACATATCATTCTAAAATAAATATAACCTCTGATTTTGAACAGTTCAACAAAGTCAATATTAGTGATCCAAATTAACAGTAATGTAAAGCACCACAAAATGAAGCCCAATATAAAAATACTACATCTCTTCACCTTCTCTCTCTGCTGTCACGAGCAGGTTTTTATAAAGCCCTCTACAACTGTTACAGATATCTATCACACAGAAAAGTGTGCAACTATTTGAAGTGACATTTAAACTCAGAACAAAACACCAGAGTGTTCTCTTATCAGGTAGATGCATTAAACTTGACAGTAATCTTTCATTTTCTGTAAGGTGGAATTCTAGAGTATGCCAGAAGCTCTACCATGGGGAGAAAGAACAGAAGCTTACTACATCTCAGTCATTTCTCAGCTTCTATTCAGATAGCTTTTAAGTTTCCAGAGTAAGGGATGTGCAAGAAAGTGGCAACAAGAGCAACAAGGGGTGGGGCAAACATATTTCCATCAAAATATTTATTATTGTTATTATTATTATTGAGGCAAGGTGCGAAAGCAAGCAAACAACCTCAGTCTAGAACACACTAAAACACGCTTGCTCAGGTCTCCTGCCCTCACCCAACTTCACTCCTCTAAGATCTGCACCTTACCCTCTCCCCCTCCGAAAAGGCATCTGTCAAAAAGCAACTTCTCTGGTTGCGATTGGATTTCAACTTTGTTTATGCCCTTCTTTTATGTCAGTGAACACGCAGATTTTGAAAAGCAGAGTTTTGGGAACATTCTTGGACATTAAGATCCACAATAAGCCAGGCAGTGGTAGCACAAACCTCAATCCCAGCACTCAGAGGCAGTCAGGTATCTATTAGTTCAAGGCCAGCCTGGTCTACAAAGCAAAAAGGAGTGCTTAGCAGTTTTTGTAGTATTTTCTCAAAATGGAGAATACGACTTCAAATTAAATCAGCTAACACCGGGGAGGAGACACACACCTGTGCATACTGTAACCTGACTTCTGAAATTCTCTCAGTTGATTTTCAGGGTCCTTGCTTAGAAACATGAAAAACAAGAGTCCGTGCCTTTTAATTTCAACGGAATAAGTGGTAAATATTTTAAAGTGCTCCCTTAGCCAAAGGAACTAATTTTGTTTTGTTTCATGGAGAAGGAATAAGATGTTGAAGCTGACTTAATAACTTTCTCAGAGTTGGCTTCTGATTTGGCTCTGAAGACCACAGCCAGCACTGTTCAGATAACTACGTAAAGTTAAAGAAAGCGCCACCCCCACACAACAGCCTAACAAGTTCTTTTCAATGGTGTATGTCCTCTTCAGGAAACTTCTGTGGAGACAATTTTATCACCACAGCAGAAAGAAAAGCATTCTGAAATGTAAAGGCAGATCTTAAGTCGGAGGGTCTGAACGCCTAGATAGAGCCTAGTGTGACACGCATTATAGATGGGGCTTAATCTTAGAGTCTCAAACCAGCAACATCATTGTCCCCTGAAATACGAGCATCTACTCCAGGTCCACTGAAGAAAATGGGAAGCACCCATAGAGATTGTTTTAACCCGTGGGTGACTTTTATATGCAATTTAGTTTGAGAGCCTCAGGAACCAGTGACCCCTATTGTCTCAAATCACTAAAATGTTACTGTGGAGAGATGAAGGGCCATCACTTATTAGACAACTAAAGGCATTCAGATCATTCTTGTAGTCTGAACAAAAGACCACAATCAAGAATAGCATAGTCTTGATTTTTAGACCTGTAACATTTCCTAGAGAAAATTTGTATTAGCAAGCTTTCTGCCATTCAGCAGGTACTGGTAGACATTAGCATTTTAACACACAGTGGCCATCTCCAAATTCAATCTTGGTTTTCTTCACATTTATGGAGCAGGCTATTTTATGATAGATAAGGCATTTCACATTTACTTCCCCAAACTCCTGCCCCATATAACTTTCCATTGTCTAGAGTGATAACAAAACAACCCAAACACTAAGTCAAGGAGACACTTGGGATTCTCAGCCAGTGGAAATATGCAGTATTCACGTTGTAGGAAGCCTCTAAAGACGATCTTCAAATAGACCTGGTTTCTCAGTGTGAGTCAATGAACTACCATTAGGATGGAAACCCTGAAGATCAAAGGGTGAGACTTGAGCAGACACCTTGAGGTTTCCTGAGGAGTTAACAAATGAACAAAAATAATGCTTTGACATGACAGAGAAGTGGACTGGCTGTCGGGGGCCCAAAGAAAAGCTGTTTCAACAAACAAAACAAAACAAAAAAACCAAATCCACACACCCAGTAGGGGTCAAGTTTAGAGGATTTCTCACTCCCTAAGGAAGCACCTCCCCCCCAATTTGTTTTGACAGGTGATTACATTACAACAAACCCCACCCTCCCTGACTCACTTCCTTAAGCAGTTAAACCAGCTCTGCTTTCTCACTGAAACAAATGTTTTTGTCTCCACACCACCCTAGATGAGGTTCTTCAACGTTTCTTCCAGAAAGAAAAAAAAAAAAAACCTCCAAATTTCTATTTTGCCATGAATATAACAGGCGAAAGCCAAACAACTCAGACCTTCATTTTCCTGCAGCAGCTTTAATTTTACAATCCAAAAGCATTTATTTTACAGTACTCAGTAGAAACATGTTTTTGTTTTGTTTTGTTTAAAATAAGAAAACAAAAACCTGTCCTCTTTTTGGGCCTCCACACAATGCTCTGTGGAGGTGATTGGCGGACCAGCAACCTATTTCACCACCCACCTTCTGATATTTTCTGTAAGGAGTACGCGCATTTCCTATGAGCCATATACTTGGCAACACTTTTGCCCAAAGCCTTCCAAATGACAAAAGAGGGTCACCAAACACATTAAAAAAAAAAAAAAAAACAAAAAACCCATTCCAACAGGGCTTGACACATATTCAGGCTCTGCATCAACTTCAATCTACTTAAGCAGCCACAATTATTCAAATGGAAGAATGTGTTCTTGTAAAAACATGAATTTGAGTAGTCCCAATGTTTAGACGTAGAAACGAATGTGTTTGATACTCATGGAGGCATGAGGTCAGAGTTGGAAAATCAATAAAGGCCAAGACAGGCAAAACTGTTCTCCCTCCCCACTGGACTAGCGAAATGCAACCTGGATGAAAACATTCCCTCCCCCGCAAAAAAAAAAAATTAAGGCAAGAGATATTGATATCACTTTAAAGAAACCTGTGATCTCTTTTGGCTTTGTCAAAGAGTAAATTCCTAGGTTAATACTCTTCAGGTTTCAGCTTTGCCTCAGGAACCTATGCTATCATTTCTTACAGATAAGATTATTGTACTAGAGAGCCCACGGAAAATACACATAAAAAGTAACAACGCACATTGCCTCCTACTTGTTAGGAGAAACAACGCTTGTGGTCAAATATGATCCACAAACTAAAGAGAGCACAAGAATCCTCTTTACACGGTTTATTACTTTTTGTTTTGTTTTGAATCTAATGATTTGGTTCCAAATGAAATCTTTGAAGGGCTGAGATAACGGCCAGCATAATACACTCCAAATACTGCTGAGCACACTGTGTGTGAGAAACGAAGTTAAGAACACTTCTGATGGAGGCGTGACATAAACAGACAAAACAAAACCAGGACAAAGAAAAAGCACCCCCCCCCCCATTTGCCTGGATGGATGTAACTTTCCCAGACCTAAGAGGGTGTTAGCAGTCGGCTTCTCTCCTTTGCTATAACAGTGAAGTTCATGGCTCATTGTCAGCAGAACAGACTCAATACACTTCCTCCTCTGGGGAGTCAGATGGCCTGTCTAGGCCCTGATAATTTTCTCCACTTTGAAATAAAAACTTGGAAACATTGTCGTCCAATTTGTCACTGAAATAATTCTAGCTTCAACATTTGACAAATAACTCTGGGAGGCCCGGTCCACCTCCACCTGACACCATTACCAGGGATACTGTGTATCACTGAATACGAAACACAAAAACACAAATAGTTTGGGGTTTCTTTAAAAATGACATTTGTATTAAAAGTCTTCAAAGGAAGAGACAATGACCAGATGAGTGGGATTAAAAGTTACAATCTGTTAGAATTCTCTTGGTACATCACAACAAAATTCTGCGCTTAGCTTCTGGGGGACACCCTTAGACAAATGACAGGGACACTCTGAAAACAAGGCAACGGAAAAGGGAGCTAAAACCTGAAATCTGAACAAAATGAAGAAAGGGAGAAAAAACACTCGAGACATGGGCTTACCATTAAGAAAGCTAAAAATGAACAAAGCAATTCATGGACTAACCGGCCCCATTTGTCCTGGCTCTTTCAGGAAGATACTTAAAGTGGTTTTGGGGGCAGCAGAACAGCAGATTCTGGGATATGGTGGGAATTCACAGGTTGGCACCGGCTGGAACAGCTGAGTTTGAAGGCACTCTGCAGACACAGGGGTGCTGGGGGCCCTGAATCACATTTACGAAGTCTTTGTATTGTATTTTTTAAAAGCTAGTCAGCAAAATCTGTCACTGCCAACCACACACGCACACAAAAAGCTACACTTACACACACACACACAATAGCACACACACCCAACAGCACACACACACATAATAGCACACACAAAAATGTGCAGATCTTTTAACATTTTTTTCACAGCTGATTAAAAAAAAATACTACCATTCTCCCCCAGACTCCCCTTTGATACAGTAGGTAATCAAAATAGATTTTTTTTTCCCACAAATATCAGCAGACACTTCCTGGCACCCCCCCACTGTATTGGCATCAGTGTTTAACAGTCCCAGTTCACATGTGCAATACTTCAGATTGGATACACTGTAACAAGAACCCAACTTTGCATAGACATCCTCAGAATCGTAATCAGTCCCTGGGTTGCCCTTCCAAGCTGGCAGAAAAGGAACCCCTGGTCTTAATTTCCAAATAATCCTGGAAAACAAGGGGGAAAAAAAAATCAAGTTTCTTCCCCTCCTCTGGCTCCTTCATATGGTTTTCTCAGACCTCCTTCCTTGTGTTTAGAACTTGGAACTATGAACAGTTGTTTGGGGGAACCCTCCCCCACCGCCTCCTTCTTCCCCTCCACTTCCTCCACCTCCCCACCCCCATTTTCTTTTTCAGGCTTGAAACTTTTGCTTGCCGGTGTCAAGCAGCCAATACTGCGCCTTGATGGCTACTTAAACGGGAAAAATTATGCATGAACCGAAATCAATGAGGAACGTACACGCTGCAAAAAAAGCCACATTTCCATCAGGGTCTTGGATGGTCAGGAACCGACACCCCCTCGGACACCCCCTGAAGGCTAGGGATGCTGGCCACGCAAGTCAGCCAGGTTCCTCGGACATCCCGGCCAATACAAAGTCGTCTCCAATCTCAAAGCAAGAAGACAATCACATTAAGAAAATCGGGTGTGTTTGGCTTTGTGCACAGAAAAAAGCCGGCGCCTCACAGGATCACGCAGGCCGAGCAACAGCCCTCGTCGCCGTTGGGCTGTGCAGCGTAGTTCATCTGCCGAACGATCTCTGCGAACAGCTCATCCACTGAGGCTTTGTTTTTGGCGGATGTCTCCATGAAGGGGCAGCTCCACTCCTCGGCCAGGGCCTTGCCCTCGCCGTATGAGACCTCGCGCTCGCCCTCCAGGTCCACCTTGTTGCCCACCAGGATCATAGGTACGCGCTCGTACCGCTTCACGCGGATGATCTGGTCCCGCATGGGTTTGATGTCCTGGAAGCTCTGCTGGTTGACCAAGCTGTAGACAAGGATGAAACCCTGGCCATTCTTGATGTACAGGTCCCGCATGGATGCGAACTGCTCGGTACCCGCTGTGTCCAGGATCTCCAGCACCGACGGCGACGAATCCACCTCAATCTCCTTGCGGTAGAAGTCCTCGATGGTCGGGTCGTACTTCTCGATGAAGGAACCTGTCACGAACTGCACAGTGAGCGCGGACTTGCCCACACCGCCCGAGCCCAGCACCACCACTTTGTACTCTCTCATGGCTCCGTCGGCGCCCTCGTCGCGCCTGCCGCGGCCCCGTCGGGGCTGCGCGCTGGGGAAGACTGGGCTGGGCGGGTAGACTTCTTTTCTTCCTCCGTTCCGCAGGAAAAGCCCCGGCGAGAGTGGCCCGGGAGCGCGGGCTCACCGATCGGCTAGCAGAGCCCCGCGCCGGGTCGACCGGTGGCGGGGGCGCGTCCCTGGGGCGAGGGTCCCGGGCCCCGCAGTAGCCCTGGCAAGAGGACCCTGAGGACAATGCGCGCAGCCGGAGCAAGGCAACCGCTGGAGCTCCTCTCCACCACAGCCCGAGAGAGCCGGGAGGCGGTAGCTGCTGGCTGCAGAGGCGGATGCTAATTGAGCGTCCGGCTGGGACACGCGTGGCATGTGTCCCCGCGGAACGTGCGCCCAGTTCCGCGGCCCATCGCTCGCTCTCTCTCTCCCGCAGCCTCCGCTGGGCGAGGGCTTCCTACTCGCCGCGCGCAGTCCGGCCCTCCCCCGCCCCGCCGAGCATGCCCAGTGAGCCGCCGGCGGCGCCCCGCCCGAGCTCCGCTCCGGCTTTTCCGCGGCGTCGGGAGGAGGCGTGGCTAGAGGGTGTGGCGAACCGGGACTGGGCGTGGCGGCGCGAAGCTTGGAACCGGGCAAGCCTGCCTGTGCCTGTGGGTAGAAAAGCTCCGGACCGAAGCTACCTCCTTTCGGGGCTCTGCGAGCCTCTCGTGGGCGCATCGGGCAGTTGCTGGCTATGACCTTTTCACCGCCTTGCGCTGTCAAAGGCGGATAGACACCAGTCGCCCAGCCCCAATCGGTGCACGCTTCTCCGGGTCACACACCTGCGTGACATTTGCAGGCCAAGGAAAACAACACAGAGCGTGTTCCCACTTGACCTAGTGTTCGCTTTCCTTGCAAAGAACTCTCCTGGGTCCCTATTCGGACTTGGAGCTAGGGGTGGGAATTAATGGGGGCACCGCAGCCTTCGGGGCAGGATTCGAGGGGTCATGCAACCTCCCCTTTGGCTGGAGCCAAAACCCGGCTAGCGGATCTAGCCTAGCGGAAGACGTACGGCTCCCGCACCCAGAGTCAGGGCATGCTCAGTCGGCCGAGCAGGTTTGGGGGCTGCAAGTGGGAAGGTTTCGCACCGCACACCCACACGCCAGCTCAAATTACCTCTTCCAGACTCCCAACTCATTGGCCTCAGAATGCGAGTCTCACACCCCCAAATGTTTTCCCATTGGCTGCTGCCGAGGTTTTGTCACTTTGGACAGCTTCATTGGTTGGAAAGTCGCCTCCGCTCGGGATTGGTTATTTATAGAGATTGAGCGGAGAGGCGGAGGCCCAGCTGTTCCTTCTCCACTGCTCCCCGCCCCCTTCCACCCACTGCCTGGGCCTGTGGATCTGAAGCTGAGAGGGGAAAAGAAGGAATTTAGGCGGAGTGCTCCGAACTAAATATAGTCCTTTGTTGGTGTTTTGGAGGGAGTCTGATTTCTTCAAACCCAGTCACGACCGTTTCTTAAAGGGAGCAGCTAGGGTTCATTGCTGCTCTCGGTCTGCAAGAAATCCTAAAGTTTCTAACTTAAATCTTTGCCGGGAGCTAGGATGAGCAATGAGCCACCGGGAGCTCGGGGCAGCAGGAGAGATGGGTCTGCCCAGGCTTGCCTCTTCCCAAGCTCTTCATGGTGGGGCGGGCAGTCGCAGGACTTGGCTCGGTTCACTAGCACAGGGATGCGAGGTGACGCCTGGACTTGTCCCGAGTCTCTCTAGTTCCTTGCTAGGAGAGATGTCTAGACCTGTCAGCGCACGGCACTGGCTGTGGGAGCCGCCGAGTGCAGAGGGGTGGGGATCGGATTTGTGTCAACCCGGTGCTCAGTGGCCTGTCTTCTTATCTTCTGCCACTAGGTTCTGCTTCAACCGTCCTCGCTGCAGGGAGAACGGGAGAACGGGGCAGTGTGTAGATACGTGCTTTTGGTTCCGAGTTACTGCAATGTTCTTGGCCCCATTTGCGAGTGGGCCTGCTCCAGACTCTTAAGTTTGTGTCCGCAGCGGTAAGTTCCAGCCAGCAGAGTCCGGCGGGAGTTCTATATCCTGTGCCTCTCAGTTCGTTGACGGTGCTCGCTCTGCCATTTAGTGGAGAAAGGGTACCCCCCACCCAACCCCCCGCGCCATGGTCAGCTACTGATTGCTTCGATTTAATTATGCTGATATAATTCTTCAGAGAATTATCTCTGAATCACTTTATTTCATACAGCTGGGCAGAATCCTGCCAACATTCTGCCAAGTGTTTTGCATGCACTATCTCAATTACCCCTCATAATAATTACTTCTAGGCCATTTTAAAGATGAACAAACTGAGGTTCCCAGGGGTTCAGTAGCTCATCCGGGCGTGGCAAAGCAAGGATTACAGCCTAGGTGTTTGATTGTAGAGCAGTCAAACCGCTTGAAGACAGGAAGAGCATGCCGCCCCCACCCTCACCCCGCGCGACCATGACCAACCATTCTTTGCTCTTTTCTTGTGGAAATAATATTGTTTGGATGGCGCTTCCTCAACTAGACGCGATAGGAACTCTTAAATACCCTACCGTGTGGTGCCAAACCCACCTCATGGGTTCTTTTGGGGAATCCCCATTTACTCATATCCAGTTGATAGTTCTTTTTTGGGCTGAGCACTTTGTTGAGGTGCTGTGGGCCCCTTGAAAGAACAGTAGAGTCACCAGTGCCCTGACTTCTTCCAGCTTGGCCCTTGAAGGAGTCCACAGATTCTCAACTTAACACCTGGCTGTACAGGTTCTTGTGAAGATGTGTTTGTTAAAGTGGAAAGTCGCCGGGCAGTGGTGGTGTACACCTTTAATCCCAGAACTCGGGAGGCACAGGCAGGTGGATCTTTGTGAGTTCGAGATCAACCTGGTCTGCAAGAGCTAGTTCCAAGACAGGCTCCAAAGCTACAGAGAAAACCTGTCTCAAAAAATCAAACAAATAAATAAAGTGTAAAGTCGATCACATTTTACCCATTTGTTCTTCATGGTTGTTAATACTATTGCACCAATGGTGTGACAAAGAGGAGAACTGGTTGTCAGCCTGACTACATCTGAAATGAGCAGAAATTCCAGAAACAGAGAGCACAGTTGTGAGGAATTTCTTTGCTTGGTTTGAGGTGGGTAAAGCCACCTCTAGTATGGACCATTTTTGAGGTAGGAAGGCACGCATGCCTTTGATCTGGATCTTGAGGTAGGAAAATTCCCCTTTAATCTGGGCCATAACTTCTTCTGGAAGTCTCTGTAAGGACAGAGAAGAAGGAAGCTTTGGCTCTTTGCCTGCTTGCCTTTGCCTTGCTAACGTGTATTCCTTCCTTCCCTGGCATTCAAGTTTCCTTCTTTGGTATCCCAGCATATAATGAAGACCAGCTGAGACATACAGCCTTATGGCCTGAACAAGCTACTGGATTCTTTGACTTTCTGCTCTCAGCTAGCCGTTGTTAGATTAGCTGGACTGCAGCATGTAAGCCATTCTAATAAATCCCCTGTGTGTGTGTGTGTGTGTGTGTGTGTGTGTGTGTGTGTGTATAACATATGGAGAGAGAGATTCATTCTATAAGTTCTGTTTCTCTGGAGAACCCTGACTAAATACAGTGGGCCTTGTTGTACACTCTCCGCTCACAAAGGTGTGAGTTTATGTAACCTGAAAGAAAATGCCTCATACCTCAAGCCTGGACCTCAGTTACGACCTGGGGCATTTGCCAAGTCCATGACGTTTGCTGACCTTAGTTTGCCTGTCTATGAAATGGTGATGATGAAATTTTCTCCGCTCACAGTGCTGAGCCAGGTATCTTGAAGAGAATCTGGCCAGCAAAGCCCTCCATTTCCAGCAGAGACCTGAGCAGCTAGGGCCCCGTGACCTGACTGCCCTCTCCAGTAGTCTGATGTATCACAAAGGAGTAATAATGAATAGAGAGTGGATAGTAACACTTGTTAAAGCTGTTGTGCACCAGACATTCATCAGTTGCTACCCAGACCTAAGCAGCTGGACAGGCCCATAAGAGCTATCCATGTAGACAAGTGAATGGCGTGAACTGAAGCTTCATGACTTTTTCAATAACAGAAAGATGCTATTTGGCGTTTTCAGTAGTATATTACATCCCAGTTATTTCCCATATGTTGGGGATTATTGTTTTAAAGTGTGCTGCATTTTTTTTCATACTGGCCTTTTTTTTAAAACAATTTAAAGATGTGTTTTGTTGGGGGCTGCAGACCCCTGGCCCCTTGGCTTTCTTTGCCTGCTGGAGTGAAGCAACTTGCTTTCCCCTGTGCCTGCAGCTGCTCTGAGCACGAGACCCTCATGAGTTCCTGATGGCAGGGGAGTAAATTCTGGTGGGTTTTACAGCTGGAAATCCCAAGAGCCGGGGCGTGGCTATCAGTTAAGGATCCCAATGTAAGCTGCCCCTGTGCACAATAAAGTTGGCATTCTTGTATCTAGGATGACCCATGTCCCTGTGTCTGTGTGTATGTTTTTAAATCTCCAGCCTAGTGTCTGGCTCGCCTACAGTCCTGTAGTGCAGGCGCTACAGTGTTTGATCAAATAAAATTAACCTGTGAGCAGGATGCTGGGTCAGCAAAGAGCTGACGGGAAGTGCTAAGGGGGAATCACATATAGCAAGGTTTTTTCGTTTTGTTTTGATTTCGTGGTTTTTTGAGACAGGATTTCTCTGTGTGGCTTTGGAACCTGTCCTAGAACTGGCTCTTATACACTAGGCTGGCCTCGAACACGCAGAGATCCGCTTACCTCTGCCTCCTGAGTCCTGGGATTAAAGGTGTGTTCCACTACTGCCTGGCTAGCAAGGGTTTGTAATTGAGAATGGAGAGAAGGACTCTGGGGTGTGTGGAAGGCACCAGCAAAGGCAGAAGGTTAACTGCTAGATATTCACCCTCTCTGAGGAGCAGAATTCCACCTCAAACCTTAAATTTTAACTTCTATAGATTTAGATAAAGTTTCCCTTAGTAGCTTTGAAAGAGTCTTGCCTGAGAAA